ACAGTACAGGGAGAGCAATTAGGGTCACATAACAATGTATGTATAAATTTTTGTATAAGAGACTAACTTGAAATGTAACCTTTCACTTAAACTACAACAATAAACAATAACAAAAAAATATATCTGCCCTGAAGTCTTCTTAAAACGAAACAATAGTTTAGTTTACCTAGTAAAAAAAAATGTCTGCCTTGAGCATTATGCACTTTTAAGATCTATATGGGATCAAACTGACAACAGCAACTCAAAAGATTAGAATAGGAACCATAGGAGGCAGTTAATTTATTTTAATGGGGGAGGAACAACTCAGAAAAGGAGGGTGAGAACGGTTGCACAACTCAAAAGAACGTAATCGGTATTACTAAATGGTACCTGTAGAAACTGTTGAATTGGTGTTTGTTTTGCTGTGTATATTCTCAACAATGACAACAAAATAAACAATGTTTTTTAAAGATTAATGAACATATCCTGTTTGCAAGATTGATAAACATATCCTGTTTTCAAAACTTTAGGAGTCTTGTAACCAAAACTCACTTATCTTGTGATTGTCCTGTAACTGTTTAGCAAAGTTACATAAATGTCAACCAATCAGAAATTTCGTTCGAAGTTCTTGATAACTTTGTCTATAAGCACTTTAAGAATCCTAACTGTTCAGAGCACTCATTCACCCAGTGAATGATGTGTTGCCAACTGCAATTTGGCTATTAAATCTGCATAGCAATCTGCTAATGGTGTTCTGAGTTGTTTACTTTTGACACCTGCACTAAGTATGATTCCTTAAAATACGTTCTATCATTCTTACAGTATATCTAGACAAAATGTAATTTTTCATTCTGATATTACTTAAATGATAAAATTACCTTTATGTTTATTCAGAAGCTTGTAGCCCTCACAGTATCTGCCTGATGAAGTCATCTTGGCTGTGTCGAGATATGAATATGTTGCAGCAAAATCAAACTCCTTTTTACCATCCCACCAACCTTTCTGCTTAGCATAGTTTCTCATGTGTGGGTGCTCCCGATCAATCTTGGTTGTTACAGAAAGCTGATTAGAAATATTACGAACTCCCTCTATTTTCAAGCAGAAAAGAGAAGAAAAATCATATTTAACGTGAGGTATCTCTCTGTACATATGATTCCTACTTGCTATTTAAATATAAATATAGACTTAAATTTTGTGCCATGTGCATGTATTACATATTCAAAATGATAAATGAATTATTTTTAATTAAACTTTTTATTTTGAGGCAATTATAGATTCACATGTAGTTCTAAGAAGTAATGCAGAGAGATCCTGTATGCCCTTTATCCAGTTTTCCCCAATGGTAACACCTTGCAAAACTACAGTATATCACAATGAGGATATTGGTATTGATGCAGTCAAGATACAGAATATCTCTATCACCACAAGAATCCCTCATGTATACACAGACATACATACGCATATCCTATTGGTTCTGTTTCTCCAGAGAAACCTGCCTGATATACCATCTAACAGCTAATTCCCTATAATTTAAAAAATTTAGTTCTTGGGATCATTTAGTAATAGGAAGAGAAACCAGGTGGCAAGGTTAATCTACAACTAGATAATCAGAACCAATGAAGGTGTTCATTTGGATGGCCAGGTGGAACTCTTTGCAACAAATACATTTACTTACTTCTCTCTTGTATGTAGCACACTTAATGAAATAAGAAGTGCTCAATGGTACGATAAGGCCAACTATGGAGCCCTGGTGACGCATAGTTAAGCATCGGCTGCTAACCAAAAGGCTGGCAGTTCGAATCCACCAGCCACTCCTTGGAAACCCTATGGGGCAGTTTTACTCTGTCCCATAGGGTCGCTATGAGTCAGAATTGACTCAATGGCACTGGGGTATCATAATAAGAAAAACAATCTAAGTTCAATTTTATTTATCAGTAAACATGCATACAAAATAAAAAACAAAATTTCCATCAAAACAATTGGCAAAGAGCTATTTTGAAAAATAACATCCAAATCCTCCAAAGCTCAAGGCCACCTCCACAAAGCCTTTCTGAACTCCTCCAGTTCACCGTGATCTTTCCTTTCTCTAAGTACTTGTGGCATCTCTATGTCTGTATCATTGATGTACCATTTAATGCTTTCACATGTATATCTCCCTAGTAAAGCTAGAAAATCCAGGAGACAAGTACACAGGAAGCATCTGATTAAGCTTGAAGACAAGGCTGTGCTCTAGTGGAAAGAACTCTCTAGTGGACTGACAGGACTGAAAGACTTAAATTTCAAGTCTTTTACTCACTCGCCTTGAGCAAGTCACTTTACATCTCTGGATTTCCTCATTAGAAAAATGAAAGAAATATATGATCACAAAAAAATCGTGAAAAAAAATGAAAAGCTTTCTAAAACAGTAAAATTGTGTTGTTTTACTCAATGATATTAAAATTTTGTTTTAATTTACATACAGTAAAAAGCTATTGTATCAACATATCCTTTCTAATTACCAGTGCACAGACACCAGTATACATACAACTCCGCTCCCCTTTCCACACCTCCCTACCTGCACATGATAAACTTTTGGAGTTCAGCACAAAGTGAAAAGAAGAAAAAATGCTAAGGAGTTATTAAAAAGTGAAAAAGTACCATGAAACAGCCAAGAGCTGCTGCACAGAAAGTATATACAGGATTTATATAAAATTTGCACTCCCAGTGATAACTCCACATTTTGCTTGCTCTCAAAAGAGTTTTCTCTATAGTGTTCTTTCAGTACACGCTCTTCTCTCATTTCCTCTGCAGCCCAATCCTTCACTGTACTGGATTATAAATCTTGAAAAACAATTACATGCAACATCTTCAACTGCAGGGGTGTTTTACTATTGCAAAACAAATTAAATCACAACAAGTTATCCATACCTTCTACTTTTTCTGCTGCCCAGTACTTTCCTGCAGTCTCCAAAATCCAGGCTTCATTCCTGTCAGCTATCAGGAAACTGTTGTGATAACTAAATTCCATACTACCCTCCGAACAATTTCCACCCTGGCCATATTTTTCTAATAAATCAACAATGACATTGAGTGCTTTTTCAGCTGTGTCAGCTCTTTCAAGGCCAAGTCTAAAATTAAAAAAGAAATTTCAGATTAAAATAAATTTCCATTATTTTTCTTAAATAATTTCAGGCTAAGAAGATTTGTGTTTACATTCAAAGTAAAACTTTCAAATTAGCAGATAAACTGAAATCTAACTACTAAACTTTTCCTTCCGAAGTCAGTAAAAAATCATGAACAACAAGGTTTTGGGAGTCAAACTATGTTCAAATTACAACTTTGTAATATATTGGCATGCTACTTTATTTCTGAGCCTCAGATAGCTCATCCATAAAATAAAGATAACAATATATCTCACAAGGTTATTGAAATAACAAGTTAAGCTAATGTATGATAAAGTACTTAGGTACTTCTGATGAAGCATAAATTCTAACTCCTTCCCCTCTCCCAGTGACATCTGAATCTTGAAATTGCATGCATGTACTCTGGAGCATTTTGGACACAAATTATTAAGTATTGAAGGCAAAAAAAAAAAAAGAACAAGAAAAAATTGGAAAATAAAACACATAAAAGTTATATCAAAATTTAAAATTTAGACAAGTTCTATAGTGCAAAAATAATAAAAGAAAAATAACCTGACAAGGTCCATGCCCAGTAGTGCTTCTTCATCAGAGACTTCTTCTCTTCCCCACACAGCTTCATTTCCAATGCAAACTCCATGCTTATTGCCTCCCATTTCTGCCCCCCACAACCAAGCTGGGCGACTAAGGACAACAGCATATGTCTCAGGAACTTGATCAATTTCTATATAAGTACACTGAAAGAAAGTTAGAGCAACAACCATAAAATCAAAACCAAACAAAATCCAGAATTTAAAAAAAATCAATCAGAAAATATGACCATTATGAAAACAGCAAATGAAATATAACTAAATTGAAATTTTTAATAATAAAGGCATTACTCTCAAAACATATTAAGAATTGACCCTAAAGCATTGATTCATTCAAATATTTGCTGAACATCTCTGATTACAAAGCACTCTGCTAAGAGATATGTTAGTTATAAAGGTGAATCAAATACAGATCTTGTTTTCAAGAAACTAAGACTTACACATTAACCAAGATACAACTAAAGTATAAGGGCCGTGAAGGTAAGTACAGATCAGGTGCTATGGAAGCGCAGGAAAAAGAAAGATGGTATCTAGTTGTGAAATCTTGAAACATTCTGTAAAGGAAGATGTATGTACACTGAAGTTTAAGAAAGCAGTTCTCAACCTTGGTGTCCAAAGTTTTTTGGTTAGTGGTAGAAGTACACATATGGTCCCTTAAATACACAAATATTGCCATAGAAGCCCATGTCACATGTGGAAGTTGCCTATCAGGTATGCCAGAGTAGCAAAAAGAATGAGAACCACTGGCTTATAGGATAGGTTAGATTTAAATATAAAATATTAAGTGGAAATGTATCCCAGATTAATAAACTGTCACAGAAAAAGAAAAAAAGTATGACCTAATACACAGAATTGATTACTGCTTAGCAATAATCAGGGTTGTATCCTTTCACCATACTTATTCAATCCATACGCTGAGCAAATAATCCAAGAAGCCGGACTAAATGAAGAAGACCATGGCATTGGGATTAGGGGAAGACTTATTAACAACCTGCGATACGCAGATGAGACAACCTTCCTTGCTGAAAGCAAGAGGACTTGAAGCATTTACTGATGAAGATCAAAGACCACAGCCTTCAGTATGGATTACACTTCAACATAAAGAAAACAAAAATCCTAACAACTAGACCAATAAACAACATCATGACAAATGGAGAAAATACTGAAGTTGCCAAGGCTTTCATTTTACTTGGATCCACAATCAACGCCCATGGAAGAAGCAGTCAAGAAATCATATTACGCATTGCATTGGGCAAATCTACTGCAAAAGACCTCTTTAAAGTGTTAAAAAGCAAAGCTGTCACTTTAAGGACTAAGGTGCGCCTGACCCAAGCCATGGTGTTTTCAGTCATCTCATATGTATGTGAAAGCTGGATAATGAATAAGGAAGACCTAAGAAGAAGTGATGCCTCTGAATTATGGTGCTGGTGAAGAATACTGAATACACCATAGACTGCCAGAAGAACAAACAAGTCTGTCTCGGAAGAAGTACAGCCAGAACGCTTACTAGAAGCAAGGATGGCGGGACTACATCTCACATACTTTGGACATGTTATCAGGAGGGACCAGTCCCTGGAGAAGGACATTATGCTTGGTAAAGCAGAGGGTCAGTGAAAAAGAGGAGGACCCTCAGTGAGATGGATTGACACAGTGGCTGCAACAATGGGCTCAAGGATAACAATGATAGTGAGGATGGCGCAGGACCAGGCAGTGTTTCATTCTGTTGTATATAGGGTTGCTATGAGTCGGAACTGAATGCATGCCACCTAACAACAACAACATACAGAAAATATCTAATATTTAATATATTTTAATATTAGAATAACAATAAATTAAAATCCAGAAAGTATATCACTTAGCAATAAAGGCATAATATGAAACTTTCACTTTAAGTTCCAAGTTAAATGGGTTTTTTTAATGACTTGATTTCAAAGATTCCTTTAATTAATCTTTCTACTACCAAATGACTACATAAAAAGCATGTTGACAGTGCTATCACTGAACATAATAAACCTTTTTTGATGTGTCATTAAACTGCTATTCCCAGAGTCTGGCATGACTTTCCTACTCTACACCAATCAGAATCCTTTATGTTCATCAAACTCCAGCTGAAATGCCATCTCCTAGTGAAACCTTCCTTGATCCAGACTCTGAATTAATTGCTCCTTCTCCGCTGCTCTCACAGCATGTGGCTCTTACTTAAATTTAGCACTTAAGCTATCCTACTTGGTAATGTGTTAGTTGCATACACATGCAATTCTTCTACTAGACTCTAGGTTCCTGGAAGACAGAACGCTAGTCTTGACAGAGGCTTTAAATTCCTCCCCCTATCTAATATGTTTGCATATGGGAAGTATTCAAATAGTTGACCAAAGAATTAACATCATTATTATTGTTGTCATTTCAGCTTCCTCCAAACCACAGAAATAAAAGACCAGAGTCTATTTTTGATTCAAATTATTTTTCTAATTTAAATTCTTAGCTTTTTAACTTCTATAGTCTCTGCCAGAGAGGGTATTGGTGGTTCCATGGAATAATTCTCACCTTCCATGCAGGAGACGGGTTTGTCAGTGGAGGTTTGCATGTTGCTATAGTGCTGAACAGGTTTCAGCAGATCTTTCAGACTAAGATGGACTAGGAAGAAAGGCCTGGCAATCTACTTCTGAAAATCAGTCAGTGGAAACCCTATGGATCACAACAGTCGGATCTGCAACAGGTCATGGTGATGGCACAGAACCAGGAAGCATTTCATTGCGTTTTGCATGGGGTTGCCGTAATCAGGGGCCACTTGATGGCAGCTAACAAGTGTCTGACAAATAGCTAGTTAATAATACAAACAGCCATTTAAAGAAACCTATTGCTAACAAAATATGTATTTCACTTACCTTAAGATGTTTTTGCAGGTTATTATGAACTGCAGCAGGAAAATATACTACCTCTTGTACTTCATCACAGAGTCTATCTGAATTTTTTCCAAAAATAATCCTGTTATCAACTGTTGCTGGAGGTAATGCCACAAAGGTGTCACAGGAACAAGGTTCCATGTTGTTTTTTTAAAAACTAAAAATCATACAGAAGTTTCAAAATAAAAGAGAAGAAGATTTTTAAGTATATACAAAACAAAGCGTTTTACTTGATTACCAAGGACTGTTACTACCATATTTATCAAAGAGTGTTTATTAAAGTTTTAAACTTCATATACTGTAGTACAAAAATCAGTAAGAAAATGGCTTGGGAATCAATCTTGTATTACAAGAATCTATAAGAAAATGACAATGAGAAGTAACTTCTCCTACTCTACAGGTCAAATTTATCCTCTAAGATCTTTCTCTCCTGAAGTCTTGCCTAACTCTCCTTTCACTATTTCCATATTTGGGACCCCTTTTGCCCAGAATGGAAACCCTGGTAGCACAGTGGTTAATAGCTACGTCTGCTAACCGAAAGGTTGGCAGTTCAAATCCACCAGGCACTCCTTGGAACTCGATTGGGCAGTTCTACTCTGTCCTATAGGGTCGCTATGAGTTGGAATCGACTCAACAGCAATGGGTTTGCATGGGTTTTCTTGCCCAGAAGTACTGCAGAAGAAAGGCCTGACGATGTGCTGCTTGGAAGATTTTTTAAAAACTCATTGCCATTGAGTCAATTCTGACTCAGTGACCTTATAGGACAGAGTAGAACTGCCCCATAGGGTTTCCAAGGCTGTAATCTTTACAGAAGGAGACTGCCACATCTTTCTCCCACAGAGTATCTGGTGGGCTTGGAGCAGCTGGTAGGTTCGGAGCAGCTGGTGGGTTCAGAGCAGCTGCTGGGTTCGAACTGCTAACCTTTTGGTTAGCAGCCAAGTGCTTTAACCACTGCACCACCAGCACTCCCCGTAAAGATTACAGTCAAGAAAACCCTATAGAGCAGTCCTACAGCTCTATATAATTTGCCATGAGTTAGAATTGACACAACAGCAGTGGGTTTGGTTTTTGATTTGGTACCTAGCTCTTCTGTTGTGAAGACCATACTCTTCTGCATTTGTATGCATATGAGTACTAAACAGTGAGATACTTGAGAGCTGGGAGTGTATCTTACTAATATTTATATTTTCAAAGATGGAACTTAACGTTAGGTGAAAATCTTACATACCCAGTGTTATGGATTGAATTGTGTCCCCCAAAAAAGTGTGTCAACTTGGCTAGGCCATAATTCTCAGTATTGTATGGTTGTCCACCACTTTGTGATCTGATGTGATTTTCCTGTATGTTGTAAATCCTACTTCTATGATTAGGAGGCAGGATTAGAGGCAGTTATGTTAATGAAGCAGGACTCAATCTACAGGATTAGGTTGTATGCTGAGTCAATCTTTCCTGAGATATAAAAGAGAGAATCGAGCAGAGAGGAGAGGGACCTCATAAGAAGAAGCACCAGGAGCAGAGTGCGTCCTTTGGACCCAGGATCCCTGTGCTGAGAAGCTCCTAGACCAGGGACCGATTGATGACAAGGACTTTCCCCCAAACCAACAAAGAGAATAAGCCTTCTCCTAGGGCTGGCACCCTGAATTCAGACTTCTAGCCTTCTAAACTGTGAGAGAATAATTTGTTTGTCAAGGCCATGTACTTGTGGTATTTCTGTTACAGCGGCACCAGATAACTAAGACATTCAGGATTTCCTCAAAGGAAGGAAGAAGGAGTCTTTTTTGAGCTGGAGAAGAATACAGGTTATAATACTGGTAAGACTCAAATTTTGAAACAGACTCACTGATTCAGACAACTACAAAGATGTCAATAAAATTCCAAATTGTTAGTATTTCCAGGAGGAAGTTTACATACATAATTTGTAAACCTTGATTGTAGAACTTAATATCTATGTTTTTATTCAATATTGAGAAAACTTTACATCCTAAATTTTAGTAGAAAAATTAAATGCCCTGTACTTTTAATTCTGCTTCCTGAGTAGACAAACTGTTTTAGAGTTCCCTTTTTCCCATTATTTTATAATCCCCAAAACTTTAGAATGGCTTTACACAGGCAGATACTAGCAATATTTAAAAAAAAATAAATCTAATAAATCTTTCATTAAAAGAAAGCAAAATTACTCAAGTAAGAAACAATTTCAGCCTGAAACTCCTAAGGGTTTTTCTCTTTTTTTCAATGGTGGGAAGACAGAGGTCACTATTGCTTGTCTCCTCTTCTATATGTAGTTTGATCTTTACCTCTGGATCTCTTCTGTTTGTGTTCGGAAGAGTTAGCTCCACCACTGCATAATTCTGGGCAGGCTATTTAATGTCTCTCTCTCTATGCCTCCTGCTTCATCAGTAAAATAAAAGATACTATCTTTTGGTGCTGTTATGAGAATTTAATAAAACAGTGTTTAAAGCATTCTGCACAGTGCATGGAACATAGTAGACACTCGAAAGTTATTATTTGGCAGAGGAGTTAAGTTCTCATAAAAAACTTACTGGTGACAATGCAGAGGACACGGCTGGTGGATCTCCCACAGCTATAGCAGCCACGTCCTCTCAAAATCCTGGAGTCTCAAGGGCCATCAAGGTGCACTGGGTGACTTAAGCTAACTGGGGTTGCAGGGGAAGCTAAGGAAGCTTGTCGCCTAATTAGAAAGGCACCTAGCCCACTGAGGAGGGGAAGTCTTGAGAGCCTTTTAACCCTGGTGGTGCAGTGGTTAAGAGATCCGCTGCTACCCAAAAGGTCGGCAGTTGGAATCCACCAGCCACTCCTTGGAAACCCTAAGGGGCAGTTATACTCTGTCCTACAGGGTCACTATGAGTCGGAATGACCGGACAGCAACGTTTTCAAAGGAGCCCTGGTGGCCCAATGGTTAAGCGCTCAGCTCCTAACCCAAAGCTCTGCTGATTGAACTCACCCAGGAGCTCCTTGGGAGGACCTGGCGATCTGCTCCTGTAAAGATTACAGCCTAGAAAACCCTGTGGGGCAGTTCTTCTCTGACGCATGGGGTCAGTATGAGCCTGACTCAACCTGACGGCACACAACAATGCATTTTTAAGTTCAACATTCGACAACTGTTTGTTGAACATCTGTGCCAGGCACCATACAGCTGGGAACAAAAAAGACAGGGTATCCGCTCTCCTGGAGCATGAAAGTTTATATAACTCGAATTTGAGTTCACAGAAAGTAATGGTCTCGAACTTCAAATACCTTTTGCAAAAGAGCCGCCGTCACCAACTCCCTACTACGCAGCCCACCCGGCGGCGCACAAACTGCAGCCCACGCCACTATGACCCGAGCCGCTCCCGGTGGCAGCGCCGCGCAGCGCTGCAATCCAAGTCTTCCTCTTTCCTACCTCAATTATGCACGCCCCTCCCCCGATGCACGTCCTTCACCCGGCCTCGGAGCTTTCCCCAACTGAAAAGTGGAAAGAAAGAGGAGGGGCGGGGAGAGATGAGAGTTACCGGAAGCTGTCACCTTTGACCTCGGAAGCTCCCGCTGCCACGAGAGTTGCAATTCCGGTTAGGGGGCGGATTTTGTTTACGTTGCTCGCAGATCTAGAGTTTTTTCCTTCCCCACCTCGCGCTCCAAGATGGGGAAATCCTTTGCCAACTTCATGTGCAAGAAGGACTTTCATCCCGCCTCCAAGTCCAATATCAAAAAAGTGAGTAAGGCGAACCCGGGAGGGATCTGGCCGCCGGCGGTTGCATTTCCAGGGGCTCCTGGAGATGAGAGCGATGGTGTCTCTGGGATCCTTGAGGTATCGTCTCTTATCCAGGCCTAAAGTCGTAGGGCTGTCTTCTTTCTCCGCTGAGAAACTTGCTGACAAAGCTGGTCCACAACGTTTATTCTACATCAGCGAGGAAACTGGTAGCCTTTGACGGTTGTGTCAGCTAGAGACTAAATCCTTAAGATGCAGAGACTACCATTAGGGTTCCTTAATGCTTCCTTCAGCAGATTCTGGTTTTGTCTTTTTGGATCCCAGGGTTCGCGGGTTCTGAACTCTGCTCTTCTGTACAAATATGACTATTTATTTAAGATAGATCTTAAAAGGGAAGCAAATGCACCCTTTGGTTCCACTCTGTTTCGCCTTATAATATAGTGTCTGTCTGATGATCTCGTTGAAGTTTAGCGTTTTTAATAATCAGTGACAGGTCTACTAGGTGCAGTAGAGAAAGAACATACTGAATAATCTGATCGTTATATGGGAAGCAGAATGGTGAAGTACAAAGAGTCTAGGTTTTGGGGTCAGGCCTGGATTCTAGTTATTTCAGCACACTCGGTTTTAGCTTTGAGACGTTGGACAAAATATTTAATGTCTTTGATCCTCAGTCTTCTGATCTATAAATTAAGAATGATCAGTATCAATTGCCCTGATGTGTAAGATTGTTGTGAGAATTAAATGAGATGGTGGAGATAAAGGATTTGAAACAAAGTAGGTATCTAGCACTGTGCCAACCACATTGAGGAAATGCTTAATAAAATATTACTAATTGCCCCTTTACGCATACTTGTGAAAATTAGCTTTTAGTTGTTTTTTTAACCATGAAGCAGTGAGACTTAGCTGTACCACCCTCACTCTCTAGTCTAGTATTTCTCAGCCTTTTTTCATTCTTTTCCTCCTAAAGAACCTTGTTGGACGTTTCTTCATAATTGTCAACCCCATACACATGAAATTTTAATACAAAGATAGTCTGTAAATCTGTTTATGTACTGTATGTTTATTTGTGCTTTTACATGAAGAGATTTTTTTTTTACCTTCCTTCAAGAAGTTAAGTTTTGCCCTTCCGGGGGTGAGCAATATTACCCTTGTTGAGAATGCATGCTCTAGAAAAAGGTTTCTCTACCTCAGCATTATTGACATTTGGGGCTAGATAATTCTTTGTTGGGGTGGGGGGTGGGGGCTGTCCTGTGCGTTGCAGGATGTTTAGCAGGGGTGGGGGCTGTCCTGTGCGTTGCAGGATGTTTAGCAATATTCCTGACTTCTACTCACTAGGTGCCAGATGCACCCTCCGGTTGCGACAGCCAAAAATGTCTCCAGACATTGTCAAATAAATGTCCCTGGGGGAGAGGGCAAAGTGCCCAGGTTGAGAACCACTGCTCTAAACAGAGCCCTCTTTTAACAAATAACTCATACCGAAAGCTTAGGAATGCAGTCCTTGTTATGAAACAGAGGAGCTAACTGATCCATGTGGGAGTCAGGCAGTCATCCTTACTCTAACCTACAAGCAGTAGAGCTAGTTGGCCACGTAGTGAAGTCTTAGGGTAAGTCTTAAAATGTGGGTTGCCCAAGGATGAAAAGAACAGGAGGAAATATTGATGACATACTAGAAAACTCTTGTCAGAATAAATTGTACTTTAGGTTTTTGTTAGTGAGTTTGTTCTAGTAGCGATTAATCAGAATCTCATTTATTTCAGCATTATTTTTACAGGATCATGTTTACAGGATCATAGATTTTTTTATACCTTGAAGGAGCCTTAGTTATCATCCAGCCCCATCTCCTTATTTGATGAATAAGGAGTCAGATTTGCCAAGGGTTACACAGGATTTAGTTGGAACTAGGATCTAGGACACATCATCAGTCCAGTGCTTTTTCCACTACAACAGGCTGTGTTTTGCATGGTTGCAATTATGGATGAGAGAGGCTTCATAGATGCTTTAGTTTTGTGATTTCTTGTATTTGTTGGCTTGAGTAACTTTTGACCCTAAGCACAGATATTTTTCTCCTCTACAGTCTCAAAGATTTAGCTGTTTTTACAGTAATGAAGAAATCAGATGGAATTTGAGGATTTACTTTGTTTGCTCTGTTTAAATTTAGAGACAAATATACCCAAGAAGGCATAATTTTCTTCTTGAATTTTTTGCTTTTAGCTGTATAAAATTCAGTGAAACAGCTTTCCTACAAGAAGGAAAAAAAGCACAAAGAATAACTTTTGCAAGTCCATTATGAGAAAGTCTGTAGTTACAGGCTTATTCGTTACAACTACATACTTCTCATCTGTGTGAAATATACCAAATGTACAACTGGCCTCTTTAATCTGTTCCACACCTTTTCCAGGATGGAAAGAGAAGAATGAAGTGGTTTTGGTTAATAGACCTTTCTAGATAGTTAACACTTCATTGGGGGAAGAAGGTAATCTTTAGCCTTCTTTATTAACCAAGAGATAAAGGACATATTTTAAATGAAAATAAACAGAAAGGGAGGAAACGAAGGAGTTTCATCATAGAGTGGAAATCAGAGTTCCATTGTGAAAATTCTAATTGTCAAGTTAGGTGCATTGGATTTATTAAATAAGTTAGGTAGGTCTTCAGGTCTTGTTTGTTCACCAAAAATATAAGTTAATGCTGACTATCTGCTCATCATTGTATTATCAGTTATGTCACAGGTACACTGTTTAGCTCAGGTAGCATTTTTTTCTTGACAAGATTTTTTCTTCTTCTGTTCTTCTTTTTCTTCTTTTCTTCTGTTGATGCAGCCCAGCCGCTTTTTTTTTTTTAATTGTTGTGCTTTAAGTGAAAGTTTACAATTCAAGTTAGTCTCTCATACAAAAATTTATACATGCATTGTTATGTCACCCTAGTTGCTCTCTCAGCAAGATTTTGTTGATAAAGGAAACAGTTAATTTACATTCTACTGCAAGCTCTTTACCTACTTGTGGCTTGGTAAACAGTTTACAGACCTGCTACTGTGCATAGCACCATTGTAACCTACTCCATCTTTGTGAAACTCTTCTCTACTCTGGCTGGAATACAGTAATATTCCATTGTATGAATATACTACATTTTATTTATCCACTCATCAGTTGATGGACTTTGGGTTGTTTCCATAAAGTAGTCTTTCTAAAGCACGAATCTGATATCTCTTTTGGAAATAGAGGTGATGATTGAAAAACAAGATGAACATAATTAATGTCTCTGCAGTGTACACGTAAAAAATGTTGAAATGGCAAATGTTACATACATGTTTACCACATACACACAAAAATCTGATCTCTTCTGGCTCCTTATTAAAATAATACGAGATCAAGTCCAAGTAATCTGGCTTCCAGCTTATTTCTCTTTCTTCATCCCCTACTGCTATTCTCCCACCTTAGATTTTATACTCCAGTAATACCAAACTACTTACTTTCTAGTATTTTACACCTTTGGGTCTTTGCCTGAATGGTTCCCTCTGCCAGTAATATCTTGCCCTGTTTTTTCATTGGGAAAATTTTGATCTTCTTTAAAACCTTGCTTAACATGTGTGAGGTTACTTGCCTACAACGTTATTCCTTTCAGCAGTTTGTAATAGAAAAAGATTGGGAATTTCTTAAATACCTATCAATACAGTGGAAGACTTCCTCCCTGACCCCTCAGAGTTAATCATTGTCTTGTTGTAGTTCTTTACCTTGTACATATTTCTGTTGTGCAGATATCTAACTTTCTTGTTATTTACTTATACGATTCATAGCTCTTATTTTTTAGTTATGAAATAGTTTAAACATATAGAAAAGTCAGTACGATTTTCTGTTAACAGATTCTGAGCATATTGAAGGCAGGAATATGTTTTATTACTTGGTTGATTACTTGTTATTCCGTAAGTACTCAATAAATACTTGAGTACTTGAGCAATTGAAACTAGTGAAATAACTTTGTAAAATCTAAAGCTTTAAATAAATGGTAGTTATTCTATTAGAGGAGCCCTGGTGGCACAGTGGTTAAGAGCTAGGGTGCTAACCAAAAGGTCAGGAGTTGGAATCCAACAGCCGTTCCTTGGAAACCTTACGGGGCAGTTCTACTCTGTCCTATAGGGTCACTATGAGTTGGAATGAACTCGATGGCAACAGGTTTGGTTTTTGATAATTCTGTTAGAAGTAATATATTATTCATTAGAATATATTATTCATTATTCTACCAGGCAGTGAAACCTTGCATTTTTCTGTTGCACTGTTTGCATTTTGAGCTTCAGTGAAAATCCAAACGTACTTTTTTTTACTGCCTCCCTCACATGTAGGTTTTTTTCCACCATAACATTACATTGGTAAGTATGGCGTCAGTGAAAGAAACTTTCAGAAATTTATTCCAAAGTAAAATTCTGGCATATTCTGTCTAAAGGATTCTCCTTCATGGCTATTTTTGCTTTTATCTCCCTATTAATCTTTCTTGTCCATGTCTTAAACTGGGTCCCCATGGACCTTTCCTGTCTCAGAGCTACTAAAATTTTAGGAACCAATAGTGTCAGGACTTGCCTAAATTCTTGAGGGATACGAATCAATGTCAGCACAAAACTGGTTCCTATGAGGTAGAGGTCAGATGTACCTCCACTCGCCAGCTTCTTCGCCATTTCTGACAGTAGCCATTCCCCCCACAGTACTCTATACTTTTCTGCTGGGTTCAATAATTAGTTGCAATGGCCACATAAAATTCACAGACCGTATTCCCATTATGTGGTTTAGTAGGGAAGTAACAGGCTACAACTTTGGAACAGGATCAATTTGGAAGTAACAAATCAGGATCAGAAAGCACATAGGCATGGTAGAGAAGGCTCACCCGAGGTAGAGAGCACATTCTTCCCTTCTTCAAGTGTAGGACAGCTTCCAACCAGGACAGTTCTCTCAACTGCTTTCAGCTGTGCTAGTAGGCAGGTCCCTCTCGGCTGTGTAGCCAGGACCCTTCTTGCCCGTGCATGCTTCTTTGCCTTCAGCTTCCCTGCTATTGGCCTCTCCGCTGCTAACTGGCCCAGCTCATAGCCAGTGTAATAGCCTGTTTAGCCATGCAAGCCGTCTCAACCCTCCAGCTCTGCCGCTGGGCCGCTCTGCCGCCAGGCCCCTTCTGGATGTCTCGCAGACTTCGGTGTTACAGCCTTTGACCTGTATTACAACTCTTTTAGGAGGTTCCCTTCATAGGAACTCCACGTCCAAACCACTCAGCTCCAGGTGTTTCTTGGTCTTGAAGTTTCCTCCTTGCCTCTCTTCCTCTTTCCACTTCCTGAAAACCTCTGTGGGTCTGGTCACTTATATAAGCAAAGTCCTCCTCAATTTCAAGGCATAGCCTTCCCAGCCTGACCACAAACTGACCAATCCCTTTGGTGGACTGCAAGTCACTCAGTCCTATTGAGTGGATTTTCAAGGCACTATTTGAATATTGAATAATCCCTGCAAGGTGCGTAACATAGACTAATCACAGAGCAGACTCCTGCCCAGGGCCAGACAAAAAGTATCAGACCATCACGTTGTTTACAGTTTAACAGGAAATATCATTCAACATGGGGAATCCCCTGTAACAATTCTCTGGGGGTAGAAAACAACCTGGGAGCCCCACCCCCCAGGTGCTTCTCCAAAGAACTAGGGCAAAGGTAACTCCTCAGGGTTTAGGGGAAAAAATCCCAAGCTGTTTTTCCAAAGAACCAAAGCAAAAGGCCACATAAGGGAACTTGTTTCACCAGAGTATTCATCCTAAAATTTCCCGTCTTTAAACTTAGTACGTTTAGAGACAAGGATTGACTTGCTCTTTGCGTTGAATGGTTGTCCGTTTGTCTTTTATTCTAAAGGTGCTAGGAAGGCAGTGATACCTTTTAAACGTGGAGGTAACATGATTAAATATCCAAGCATAAGTAATGTGGCTTTTCCCTTCACCACCTTTATGATTTTGAGAATGTCACATAGGGACACAGGTAGCCGTGATTGGTGTCCCTAAGCAACTTAAGAGCATCTTATCTCTTTCTTTTCTCCTTTTTTTTTTTTTCCCCTTTCCTTTTTTCTTCTCCTCCTTCTGCATTTCTCCTCTCTTGGGTGTCAGTAACATTCAGTGGCATCTGTGGGCATTGTTTAACCCTACTGGTTGTACCCTGTGCTAAAGATGTTATCTATCTAGACTAGAGGTATTCCATTTAGAGAGAGTTGTCCCCGTTCTCTGAAGTAACACAGGGACGAAGTGTAGGACTGTTGTACTAATGCTCAGAGTAGTTCTCAACTTTGAAATTTTTGCCTGAAAGTTTAGTGATTTTAAATGATTGGATTTAAGGACTTACATCAAAGCACAAATAAGATTTTTTCAGGTGTTGTTTTGTGATGATGTATTATTATGACCAAAATGGTTTATGTTGTAAACTGTAAACAACAGCATTTTATGTTTCATTACAGAAGAAAATCAAACTTCCTTATTTAAATATAGCTATTTAATTAAAAATTTTTGCCTCACTAATTTAGGTATGGATGGCAGAACAGAAAATATCATATGATAAGAAGAAACAAGAAGAATTAATGCAACAGTATCTTAAAGAACAAGAATCATATGATAATAGGTAAGAAATTCCATTATGCTAGTGTTTTTACAATAATCAGTTGCATGAAAGTGCTCCCTTATTGAACCATAGATTAAGCTGGCTTTTTTTAATTGAATACCCCACTTATAGGAGTCTGTCCTTTCCCTGTGAAATATCTTTTTTACTTATAGATGGCCACTTTTTACAATTTTATCTATGATTCACATAAAATCTAGATTCACGTGACACAGGTACAGTCTGTGAGCAAGCTCCAAATTAGTCAAAGCTTAGAACACAATATAAGTCTACACTTGAACTACTTATACCTCTTACAAAGATATTTCTTTAACGTATAGTCAGATGAAATGATGCACAGGACAGCTTCAAGAAGAAAAGTGAAGTATCTCTAGTTTAGCTGCATGTTATTCTGTTAATGGCAGAAGCATGACTAAAGTTCTTCATTGGTTTCTTCTAGCACAATACCTTCCATTTTAGCTATTGTCATTTTATGTTTATATTTGCAAGTCTAACACTGAAGCTGGGTTTTAATTCTCTTGGCTAATCAAGCGAGTGAGTAGTGGTACCTTAGTTACATAGACCGTACTCTGAGTTAGAGAACATTTGCTTTAATCTGAAATTTTAGAACAGAACAGTAGATTTTCCACTCAGTCCTGTTTTTCATCAGAAGTAAAGTAATACTAAACTATCATTAAATTCTCTCTTTAAAACATAATACTGTATATCAAGAACAAAATTAAATTCTTCATTCAGCTAACTGCCTTTCTCACTAATTTTTGTAATCTGGTTAACTTCTATTTAGTACCTACTTCATGCAAGACAACAAATGGTGGTGTTGTTGTTGTGTGCTGTCGAGTCGATTCTGACTCATAGCAACCCTATGTGACAGAATCAAACTCCCCATAGGGTTTTCTTGGCTGTAATCTTTATGGAAGCAGACCACCAGGTCTTTCTCCTACAGAGCCACTAGGTGAGTTCAAATCACCAACCTTTCAGTTAGCAGCTGAGTACTTCACTGTTGCACTGCCAGGGCTCCTTAATGGTCTTGTAGGGGCATATGAAAATGTCTAAAACATAGTTTTTCTCTACCTTCAAGAAAAGCTAGTAAGGGATATGTAGGTATAGTTCAAGGCCTAGTATAATAACTGATTTGTTAACAACACTGTTTTAAAATAATGCAGCATGCTAATAAAGGACAGAATAATTCCATTTGGGAGAACAAGAGAAGACTTCATGAAAGAGGTGACGTTTAAGCCAAACTAAGTAGAATTTTACAGATTTAATTCAGTATTTGTCGCTGGAGGGCCATTTTTATCCCCAAGGACGTGGCAATGTCTGGAGACGTTTTTGGTTGTCGCAACTGTGGTGTAACTTTGACTCTTAGAAGTGTTAATTGGGTTTGACTTCCTAAAGAATATTCCTCATCAGTTAAAAAATGTTGACACTATAGCTTAATTCCAAATTTGTGGTGGCACACAGAATTTCAAGATTGTCACTATTTCCACGATATTTTAAAGTTTAAGAAAAGCGTGTGAGAGTGACTGTGTCAGTTTTTCCCTTCTCTGTTAGGAGGACCAGAATCTCTCAGGTACTGAGGCCATTCTTACAACCAGAATTTGGAACTAGTCACAAAAGAGGCAGCGCTGTTTGAATTTCAGTTCATGTATCTCAGATGTCATCTATACTAGGGGTTACCAGTCATCAGAATAAAGTTTTAGAATTTTACCTCTAAGAAAAAATATTTTCTATTAATTCCTTTAAGGTTTTTTTGTTTGTTTTTGATGTAAGATTATTCTGTAATTTTTTCCTTCTACATAAGATTGTTAACTTTGTCTTATTTCATTTAGATTGCTTATGGGAGATGAACGTGTGAAGAATGGCCTTAATTTCATGTATGAGGCCCCACCAGGAGCTAAAAAAGGTACTCGCCTCATTTTCTTTTTTTCTTTTTTTTTTTTTAAGTCTTTGATGCGTTTACAACTAAAGATTAAGAATTGCTATCATGGATATTTAAAGAAAATGCTCATCATCTTTTAAAAATTGCTTTTATTCTATGAAGGTAATAACAAATACTGTAATAGCTACAGGAGAATAAATACTAAAAATATTTTTCTAATCTCATGTGTACTTTGGGAAGGAAGAAATCAGCAGAAGTGCATTTATTCTTTCATGATTTGCATATTTGTCTTTAGTCCTTCCTATTGAATATACTCATAAATCCTTTCCTGTTACTATCGAGTTGATTCTGACTTATAGTGACCTTATAGGGCAGAGTAAAACTGCCCCATTGGGCTTTTAAGGCTGTAAATCTTTACAGAAGCTGACTGCAACATTTTTCTCCCATGGAGCAGCTGGCAGGTTCAAATAGCTGACCTTTCGGTTGGCAACCGAACACTTAAGAGTTTGAAAATTAGGAATTAACATGTTATTAAATACTGTCTCTTATTTAATACTGTATTTTATCTCTCAGTGATCTTGTGAGAAAAAAAAGAAAACCAATAAAATCTTGCAAATTACGGTTAAATACCATGATATCATAGTATAGTATATAGCAGACTTTAATATTGAAGTTTTTAACTTGTCATGCCTTTTTTTTTTTTCCATATTTTTGATACTCAATCAAGAAAACAAAGAGGTAAAGCTCTATTTCCTGTGTTTCAGTTTGCTTGCAGTAGATTGTGATTTTGTGGAAAAATTGAAAGAATTTTCAATTAATGTTTTTAGAAAGAAGAAACAGAAGGAGAGACTGAATACAAATTTGAATGGCAGAAAGGAGCCCCACGAGAAAAGTAAGGACTGGTGTTTTTTTTTTTTTTTTAAGAGATAAAATATATGTTACTTTTTTATTCAGTAGAGAAGACGACTAACGAGAAGCTATTTTTAATTATCCTCTTATGCAACTAATCTGGTTGGTCATAGTTTTTTATTGTTTTATATACTTTTTCATACTTTTTAAATCACAAATCATCAGACTGGGCACCTGTAATAATTGTTAAGTGGCTTTTGGAAATAATGAATGGATTTTATAGTTCTGTATACTTATTGAAGTGATACATTTTATAATGTTCTTAGGACTGTAAAACTTTTTCAGATTAGTTGCTGTTTAATTTATTAAATTTTTCTTAAACTGTACATTTTCTCTGCAAAATAGATACGCCAAAGATGACATGAACATCAGAGATCAGCCCTTTGGTATTCAGGTAAGTGACACATATTTTACTCTAAGAATAATTGTTATTTAATATTTCTTTATATCGTGTCAGAGGTGTATAAGCTGGAAAGGGTGCTGTGTTTCTATTTGTATCAGTCAATAGAGGGAATAGGAGAGGAAAAATAAAATGCAGTAGACTGATAGTATATAGGAATCAAAAGTTCTATGAGTGAGGGTTATAATTATATTGGTCTGTAATTTTCAAGAAATTTGGAGAATTTGCTCAAGGTCAAGAAAAGATGTAAGCTTTTATTAGTTTAGAACCGGGACAAACTATCACAAGAGGCCAAATCCTTGTTGTAAATAAAGTGTTATTGGAACACAGCCATATTCATTCATTTACGGATCATCTATGGCTTTCCCACCACAACAGCAAAGATGAGTAGTTGCAGCAGAGACCATTTGACCTGCAGAGCCTCAAATATTTAGTATCTGGCTCTTTACAGAAAAAGTTTGCGAGCCTCTGGTTTAGAAAATGAAAACTTTGTAGGTTAACTTATTAAAATTAGAGAATTTAAGATTAAGCCATGGCATAGTTTTTTTTTTTCGTATTTCACCATTTCTTTTCGGATGACGTTGTTATATTGCCATCGAGTAAGTAAGAGGTAGAAAAAATACGATTCATCTTAGCTATGAAGTAGAATTTGTAATAAAAGATTTTAGTATCTGTATTAAGTTACTAAACACAGTTATAGAGTTTCTTTCCTGGAGATCTTTAAAAATGAGAGTAATTTAACTTAAACTGTACCTAGCAATAGATATTTAAACATTGGTTAGATTCTTAGTATTTTAGTAACCAAAATAACAGTCACTGTTTCTCAGGTTCGAAATGTGAGGTGCATTAAATGTCACAAATGGGGCCATGTCAATACAGATCGAGAATGTCCTTTGTTCGGTCTTTCTGGAATCAATGCAAGTTCAGTTCCTACGGATGGCTCAGGTAGGCAATAGACATGATTTATTTGTTTTGAAATTTATGTCAAGGATGAACAAGGGAAGATAAAGTAAGATTTCTCTTTTGTATTGTTATGTTGTATTTTTGTTTTTTAGACTAAGACACATTTCCAAAATTTGATGGTAAATGGGAAAATCTGATCAGATATTCTGAATTTGAAATCCTGTATAATAAAATTAAATTTACTTTTTGTAGCAAAGGGCCCTATTAAGTTGATTTTAAAAGTACAGGATATGTTTTTGTTGTTGTGTGCTGGTGAGTTGATTCTGACTCATAACAATCCTATATGACAGAGCAGATCTCCAGGTTTTTTCTCGCACAGAGCTGCTGGTGGGTTCAAACCACCAACCCTTTGGTTAGCAGCTTAGCACTTAACCACTGTACCAGCAGAGCTCCTCAAAGGATATATTAAACACTGTTTATCAGGTTGGTAACCTAAAAATAGGAAAAAATGGTTATTTCTCATATTCATATCCTCCTGAATTGCAAAATGTCAGGCATTCGGTGATTATGGTTAAAATGGCCTTGTAGGATGAAGTTATCTTTTAAACATGTGAGATTGTTAGCAGCTCTGCCTTGGTGGTGTAGTGGTTAAGAGCTCAGCTGCTAACCAAAAGGTTGGCAGTTCATATCCACTAGCTGCTCCTTGGAAACCCGATGGGGCAGTTCTGCTCTGTCTTACAGGGTCATTATGAGTCAGAATCTACTTGATGGCAACAGGTTTGTTTGTCTTTTTTGGTACCCTTTATGGTGAAAGGATGTGAAAATTAATTCTTGGAACTAAAGTTTCTTATTTTATGAAATAATTGTATTTGGCAGCTGTTTATTTGACATCCTTCATATCATCCAGTAAGTATTCTTTTTTTGAGGTTCTGTGTTCAAGCTCAGAAAATATGGGTTCTACCCCTGGTTTACAGTCTAATCAGAAAGATTTAACTAACAAGCTAGATAAGAAACAAATAGAAAATAACTACCAGTTTACAATCTAATCAGGGAGACAAAACTAGTATATAAGAATTTAATAGAAAATATTGGAGAGTTAAATCACGTAGTTAAAAGAGGAGGTAGGACTAAAGCAACCTTTGAAGGATTATTAAGATTTAGACAGGTAGAAAGAAAGGTTGACCAAAAAAGAAAGACCAGAAGAAAAACGCAAGTAAAATAATAAATATGGTATGTGGGATAAGCCTGGAATGACACATTTATCTTGGACAACTTTAAATGGGTGCAGTCAGATTTTGAATGGCTCCGAAAAGCTAGATTTTTGAGTTTGGGGCATTGGTGCTGTGGCCGTTGTTTCCCAAACTTCTCTAATGTAAAGGATCACTTAAGATTTTTGTTTAAAATATTGGTTCCGTGACTCTGCAGAAATAAAAAGGATCATAAAACAATATTATGAATAATTCTACACCTACAAATTATATAGCCTAGATGAGATGAACAAATTTCTAGAAATGCATAAACTTCCTACATTGACTCAAGAAGAAATAGAAGATCTCAACAAATCCATAACAAGTATAGAGATGAATCAGTAATCAAAAACCTCCACCCCAAAAAAAGTCCAGGACCAGATGACTTCACTGGGGAATTCTACCAAATATTTATAGCAGAAGTGACCCTAATCCTTAAACTTTTCCATGGTATAGAAGAGGAAGAACACTTCCTAACTGATTCTGGGAGGCTAGCACTACTTTGATACCAAAGCCAGACAAAGACACCACAGGAAGAGAAAACTATAGACAATATTCCAAATGAATATAGATGCAAAAATCCTTAACAAAATACTAGCAAACGGAATCCAGAAACATACTGAAAGGAAGATACACCATGATCAAGTGATATTTATCCCAGGAGTACAAGGGTAGTCCAACACTAGAAAAATCAATCAATGTAATACACCACATTAATAGAACAATGGGAAAGAATCCCATGATCATCTCAGTTGACACCTTTTCGTGATAAAAACACTCAACAAGCTAGGAAGAGAACAAAGCACATAGGGGGCACAGTTACAGATACTTTTAGACAAAACTACAACCTTGCAGGATTGGTTTTCTGGGTTTGAAGGCTTAGGACCATGGTTTCATGGGATAGCTCAGTCAGTTGGTATAATATAGTTCATAAAGCTTCTGTTCTGCATCCTAGTTTGGTAAATAATGTCTGGGGTCTTAAAAGCCCAGAACGGCCCTCTAAGATACAGCTATTGGTCTCTACTTATCTAGAGCAAAAGAGAGAGAGAAGGAAACCAAAGACTCAGAGAAGAAGCTAGTCTAACAATCTAAACGAACCATGGCCTTACCTACCCTGGGACCAGAAGAACTAGATGATGTCCAGCTACCACTACCACTGATCAGAGCCACGATAGATGGATCCTGATAGAATGGGAGAAAAACGTGGAACAGAACCTCAAATTCTTTTATTTTTATTTTTATTTTTTTTTATATTTTATTGTGTTTTTGGTGAAAGTTTACACAGGAAATTAGGTTCTCATTTAACAGTTTCTATACATATTGTTCTGTGATGTTGGTTGCATTCTTCATGATACATCAGAACTTCAAATTCTTAGAAGTCCAGATTTTCTGGAACAGTTGAGACTGGAGGACTCCCCGAGACTATTGCCCAGATGTACTCTTTAAACCTTGAATTGAACCTATCCCCTGAAGTCCCCTTTTAGCTAAATAACAGATTGGCTCACAAAATAAAGAATATCACCTGTGAGTAATTTGTTCCTTTAAAAAATTGTCTATATGAGACCAGATGGTTAACAATTACTTTAAAAACAAAGATGAGAAGGTAAGAGGGCAGAGAAAGTAGATTACTAAAAGTGGAAAAACCAGAACAGAAATAATGAGAATGTTCACGCATTGTGAAGATTGTAACCAATGCACTGAACAATTTGAGTAGAAATTGCAGAATAGGAACCTAATTTGCTATGTCAACTTTCACCGAAAACATAAAAAAATATTAAAAAAAAAACAAGCTAGGAATAGAAAGGAAATAACTCAGTCTGATAAAGGGCACTAATGAAAAACACAGCTAACATCGTACTCGATGAATATTAAGACTAACAGTTTTCCCCTTAGCAGCACAGCTTGACCAAGGCAGGGTCATAGAAGCTTCACAGACACTTCCAAACTCCCTGAGGGACTGAATTACTGGGCTGAGGGTTGGGGACCATGGTCTTGGGGGACATCTAGCTCACTTGGCATAACATAGTTTATAAAGAAAATGTTCTACATCCTACTTTGGTGAGTAGCTTCTGGGGTCCTAAAAGCTTCTGAACGGCCACCTAAGATACTCCACTTGTCTCATGCCCTCTGGAGCCGGGGAGAATGAGGAAAACCAAAGACACAAGGGAAAGACGAGTCCAAAGGACTAATGGATCACAACTACCACAGCCTCCATCAGACTGAGTCCAGCACAACTAGATGGTGCCTGGCTACCACCACCGACTGCTCTGACAGGGATCATAGTAGAGGGTCTTGGACAGAGCTGGATGAAAATGTAGAACAAAATTCTAACGTACAAAAAAAGACCAGACTTCCTGGTCTGACAGAGACTGGAAAAACCCCAAGAGTATGGCCCCTGGACACCCTTTTAACTCAGTAATGAAGTCACTTCTGAAGTTCACCCTTCAGACAAAGATTAGACAGGCCCATAATACAGAACGAGACTAAATGGGCACAGCAGCTCAGGGGCAAGGAGTAGAAGGCAGGAGGAGACAGGAAAGCTGGAAATGGTAAACCCAAAGTCAAGAAGGGGAGAATGTTGACAGGTAGTGAGGTTGGCAGCCAATGTCACAAAACAATATGTGTATTGATTGATTAATGAGAAACTCATTTGCTTTGTAAACCTCCATCAAGTACAATTTAACAAAAAAAAAGATTTTCCCTTTAAGATCAGGAATAAGAACAAAGATGTCTGCTCTTACCACTGGTATTCAATATTTTACTGGAAGTTCTGTGCACAGCAATTAGGCAAGAAAAAGAAATAGATATCTGAATCAAGATGGAAGAAGTAAAACTATTCCTTTTTGCAGATGACATAATCCTATGTATAGAAGACCCCAAAGAATCCACAAGAAAGCTATTAGAGCTAATGAATTCAACAAAGTGGTAGTATACAAGGTCAACACACAAAAATCAGTTAGGTTTTTATACATCAGCAGTGAGCATTCTGAAAAGGAAATTAAGGGGACAATTCCATTTACAATAGCATCTAAAAGAATAAAATACCTAGGAATAAATTTAACCAGGAAGGTGAAAGACTTGTACACTGAAAACTATAAACCGTTAAGCAAATTAAAGAAGACCTAAGTAAGTGGAAGAATATTCCATGTCCATGGATTGGAAGACTAAATATTGTTAAGATGTCTGTATTACCCAGAATATAGATTAAAAATTCAAGCAGCCTTTGCAGAAATGGAAAAGCCAATCCTCAAATTCATATGGAACTGCAAGGGGCCCCAAATAGCCAAAGCAATCTTGAAAAAGTAGGAGGAGGACTCAATTTCCCACTCTCGAAACATTATAAAGGTACAGTAATCAAAGCAGCCTGGTACTGGTATAATGATAGACAGATAGACCAATGGAATAGAATTGAGATTCCAGAAATAAACCCATACATCTATGGTCATTTGATTTTTGACATCATTGTGATCATCAAATATTGTATGATTCTACTTATATAAAATATTTAGAATAGGCAAGTGTACAGAGACCAAAGATCATTAGTGTTTCCCAAGGGCATGCAGGAGGGAGGGGAAAAGGAAGAGTTGTTGCTTAAGGGACACTGACAGCTTCTGTTAAGGGTGATGAAAACGTTTGGAAACGGATAGTGGTGATAGTTGAACAACATGATGAAAGTAATTAATGTCACTGAATTGTATAGTAAAATCTGCGAAAGACAGAACCTGTGTAAGGTGGGAACCTGTCAGAGAAGGGAAACGCAAATATTTTCTACTAAAATGAGCAATAGAAAAGTGG